AAAGACTCTCTGCTGGCAGGCAGATGTTGTCCGAGCAAGAAAGAGAGGAGATGCTGTGGGTCAAGCAGTTCTCATGTAAATGGGGTGAGGGGGTCAGACTTGGAGAGCTGCAAAAGGCAGCTGGCAGGTAAAGCCTCACTCCCACAGGCTCTGGAGTCCTGGTCTGTGAAGACTTCACTAGATTTGGCCAGGACTGGCCAAGTGTTTCACACACTGTTACCTATGGCCCCCCCAGTGAAACCCAGAAATACCAAAAAGCAAAGATGATGGCTGGGTCACAAACCCCAGTGCCAAGGCTGAGCTCTGGTGCTCCAGCTCATAGTGGTGGGTCCAAATGGGAGGGCTCTGTCTGGGAGCAGCCCCACTGCTGCAGCCAGGGGCTGGCTCCCCAGGGCTGTGCCATGTCTCCATAGCGGTCAGCCTGGTGTGCTGTTCAGGACATCGTCAAGAGCACCTGCAAGTTCCGGAGGGAGATGGACAATACCAAACACCGTACAGAGTTTGAGGACTTTCTCCGGCAGGAACTAGGAAATGAGGAGGAAAGTATGGCTCATCTCCTGCCACCCCCTCTTTCCTCCCGGAGGTAGCCCTGAGTTTAGGCAGAGAAGTAAATAAGGGAAACCTGTGGCTCATCTCCCATCCCCATATGCCAACCTTGTTGCCAAGAAAGCCAATGGTATCCTAGGGTGCATTAAGAGTGTGGCCAGCAGGTCGAGGGAGGTTCTCCTCCCCCTCTACTCTGCCCTAGTGAGGCCCCATCTGGAGTACTCTGTCCAGTTCTGGGGTCCCCAGTTCAAGAAAGATGAAGAGCTACTGGGAAGAGTCCAGCGGAGGGCTGCGAGGATGAGGAGGGGACAGGAGCATCTCTTCTGCGAGGAGAGGCTGAGGGAGCTGGGCTTGTTCAGCCTGGAGAAGAGAACGCTGAGAGGGGACCTTATAAACCCACGTCTTCAGGGTGGGTGTCAGGAGGATAGGGCCAGACTCTTTTCAGTGGTGCCCAGTGACAGCACACAGGGCAACGGGCACCAACTGACGCGGTCCTGCTGTAGGTAACCCTGCTTCGGCAGGGGGTTGGACTAGATGATCTCCAGAGGTCCCTTCCAACCCCTAGCATTCTGTGAGAAGGTTACTAAGCTAGGAGGAAGGCTGCACACTGGAGGGGTCTGAATTCCCAGGAGAGCCTGGATGCAGGAAGGCTGTAGCCCACCTAGGTAGAAAGACCCTCAGCAAATTACTTGCACTCAAGGAAAAGCAAATAAAAGTAAGGTGAAGGAGCAGGGTATGGGCTTAGCATCAGATGCCCAGACGACCTCAAACCCAGTGCTGGGAAGAGCAGGACACAACAGCTCTTCCCCTCTCTCAGACTTGCCCATCAACAGCGTGAGCACTTACCACTCCCAGACGACCTCTGCCAGCAGCCCAGAGGACAAAGAGGTGGTACTAGTGAAACGCCAGCTGTTTAACAGGTCATTACCATTAACTTCCTCATGGATGACCTCCGCTTTTATCTGGAGATTGACAAGTAAGTTCCCTTTCCATCCAGTGCTTAGGTACCACCAGTCTCCCATCCTGTGGGTAGTGCCCATCTCTCAGCAGGGGATAAAGCTTGGTCCACGGATTTGTTAGTGCATGCTAGGGGTCTGTGCTGCTACCCCTAAACTCCCATCAGCACCTCTACACAAGGCTGAACATCACATTGCAGCAGAAGACACAACCAAAGTCTCACCCCATAGCTGTCTACATATAATGTGCTATATAATATATAATATAAGGTTACCTGCCTTTGGAGCCCCCAAAACCCTCCATTTCATCCAGGAAGAGTCCCCTGGCTCAGGGTTCCTCTTTGGGTGTCCTAGAAGAACTTTTGGTTTGATAATCCCAAGCAATCCAACATTTTGCCTACAACTTTTTTGACATGCCAGTGGTGGCATTTCTCCATTGACTTTGTCCAGTTCCCTGACAAACTTGTAAGAGCAAGCCATGGCCAACGCACAACAGTCCCGCAGTAAGCACACCCCAACATGTGCAGGACCAGGTTTTGATTCCCCTGTTTTCCTAAAGAAGGGCAAAAATCACATCCCCCAGGTACATGCCGTGACTATGAGGGTGGTATAAGAGGGAAGTGGCTTTTCATCCTCCTGTTTCACTGTTCCACACCTTGTGGATTGCTTTTTCTGGCCCAGCAAATACGAAGCTAAGCAGGAACATGACTGTCTAGCCTAGTAGTCAAGAAGACTTGTCTCAGAGCAAGACCCCACATGCCTCTGCAGGTTTTCCAGGCAGTGGAAGCTCTGGCAGCTCAAAACATACAGTCAGAAAAGGAAGTTGCTTTTCTTAAAAGTAAAGCCGTCATCATCAGCAAACTCTTCCTGAACTCCGATGTTCCCCCCAAATCGCGGATAAGATGCTGGGACCCGCCCAGGAAGGCTGAAGGCTGCTGTCTGCCCATTGCTCAAGACCATCGCATCGCAGCTGCGAGCAGCTGTGGGGAAAGGGGAACCAGGCAGAGGTTTGGATCTGCTCCAGCCAAGCATGCTGTGAAGCTTCACAGCATGCTCTGGAGGCTTGGGACCTCCACTTGGGCTCCAGGGAAGGGGAACAGATCCACCACCAGCTCAGAGACTGCTGAAATGTGAGGTGGGGTCAGGGAGAGAACCATGCTCCTAGGCCCCACCAGGAGTGTCCCAAACTGCTTCGGTCAACCAAGGTCTCTTCTGCGGCCAGGTAAACTTCTCTGAGGAAGAGAGAGATTTAATCTGGAGTTTATCGTCCAAGGGGCTACTAAACCGTATGCTCTACCACAGGGCTAAGGTCATGATCTTCCCCCATCCTGATGCATTTCTGGAGAAGGTACCTGTCCCCTCTCTCCCAAGGTGGCAGAGGCTCTGTGGATGCCAGCCTCTTTCTCCAGCCACCTGTTCCTCTGACATGATGAAAAAGCAGATGAGACATTCCCCAGGAGCTCAGCTGTAGATGTCTGCTTGGAGGTTTGCTGTCTTCAGTATTTCTCCTACAGGTTCTGCACCTGGAAGGTGATGAGGAGCTTTCAGGTCTCCACGAAGGACAGGGTGCCAATCTCTTCACCCATTACAAAATCCTCCTCTGCATCATCTGACAGCTACAGTCCAGGTAAGCCGAGTGCCTGTTCCCCTGCTCCACATTTGTCCTCAGGCTTGTTCTTCCAATGCAGAGATGACCAGACCTGGGTTTTCGGTGTCTCACGAGGTTCTCTTTAAAAGAGCCAAACTCCTTCCTTCGCACAGCCGCTTCATACAGCTTTGAGGACATATGTGGTGCAGGTCTATTGGAAAATGAACCAGCTTTGAAACTGTTCCTTCCCATCAAATTCAGTCAGAATTGCCCAGTAGGTTTTTAGACATCTCTTTGGGGAATAGGGAAGTCGGTGCAGAGACTTCATGAGCAAAGAACTGTTGCATAACTCTTGTTTACTTCAAAAGCCAAGTTAAAAATACACTTGCACACACCCTAAAACAGAAATAATGCAACAAATCTTCTGGGTTTCAAGTCAGAAGGGAGCAGGAAAAGGCAAAGAACCATGTAGCCAAACAGCAGGCTCAGTGGCATTACATGGAGGATGCTTTGAACACCTATAACAGAGAAAAAGTTTCAACAGCAT